GTGGAACTACTGACTAGGAAGTCAGGAAGGGGCTTAATATAAGGGCCATAAGTATTTCATAAGTCTCTCTGCTACATAGGTAAATAAAGGCTACAATTTGACGGTACTCTAATCTGGCGTAATTCCAAATCCAACAGAATATTTAACTAAATCTAATTGATTTTGTTAATTCTAAGTGTATTGCATTAGAAACATTGGGTGTAGTGGTATGAATGTGAAGTAACAGAAATGCTAGAATATACTGATCTGACCTCCATGCTGGTGTTAAAGGCTCTGTTGACCTTTGCCTTGATGTTCACCACCTGGCCCACGCTGAACACAGAGACAGAGAGGAAGAATGCTGTTAACTGTATACACACACACACCAGCAATGCAGACGGACCCACGTCTCTGTACACATTCTTCCTGTTACCTGATGGTATGTTCAAAGTGGATGTCATCCATGGAGGCGGTGACGCAGGGACACCCAGCATGCCGCTCAGCTGCCCATGTGAAACAAAACATATGTCCTCATGTCCTGTCTGGCTAGTCAGGGGTTACGACATAGCGTGGACACTCATACATGAAATCAACACACACCACATGACTAATATTCAATGAATCTCTCTCTCTCTCTCTCTCTCTCTCTCTCTCTCTCTCTCTCACTCTCTCACTCACACACACACACACACACACCTCACCGGACAGGCAGGCAGAGGAGTCTATCCATTTGAGCAGCTGACCCACGCTCAGCTCCTGTTGATGGTTGCTGTGACAGGGCATCACTATCTGACTCATTTTCACCTCTGTCGGGTTGACGCTCCCTTCTTCGTCTTCCTCTTCTTCCTCCTCCTCCTCCTCCTCCTCTGCTTTCTCCAGATGACCTGACACTCTGGAACTCATCTTCAAAGCTGAGGGGAGAAACATTTCTTAGGATGAATTCAATTTTCAGTTTTTTTGGTCAGTTGTCTTGGGCAGTTTTAAGAAAAAGAATACCAAATACCAAAGTAATCAATATCCATCTCCGTGCTCCATCTATACACCTTGTGGCATCACAAGGGGACAGGTTGTGGAGGGGCGCTACATCCTCACCCAGGATCAGTGCCCACAACCCAAAATGGCCAACGGGCTAGAGACTACAACTCCCAGACTGCCTCATCAGGCACCCAGCTGCAGGTGCTTAAGGCCCCTAATTGAGGCAGGGCTGGGAAACTGAATAAATAGCAGAGGGGAGAGCACCACGAGAAAAGAGTTGGGCCCGGAGTAGGAGAGAGGATGCCTACATGGAGGAACAGATACCAAGGACTTGGCAGGGTTGGATTACTTTTTTGGTGAAGAAACCACTTTCTCCTCCGGGACGCTTTATGTTTGTTTCATGGACCTTTTTGTTTGATTTGTGATTTTTGAGTTAAAGGAACTGCAAGTGGGACGGACCAATAAACCTTTATTTTTGCTTATACTGTCTGATTGTGCCTGTTTTATGCTCTTTTGCACTGCCCCACCCTAAGGACAACCCGTGACACTACAACCTGTAGATGACTCAAAGATAAGTCTAAATGTGGCTAAAAACATTAACATTGTTGATAATGCACGATTGTCATAAAATACCACATTGTATTGATAACCAGTGAACTTGGCAATGAACATCCCAAAGGCTTCCAACTTCACCAAATGTTTTAGCTCATTTTAATGATTTACAATCACTCGTTTAACAAGATGTCAGCCTGTAGCAGCACGGACAGATTATGAGACAATGTGGTGTAAGAAGATTGCAGAAAAATATGAAAGCATAAAAGTATAACTATTACCACATGTAACCTGTTTGATTTAAAAAAGTATAACCATTAAACATATAACCTGTTTTATTTCATGATAGAAGTGATTAAACATATAACCTGTTTTATTTCATGATAGAAGTGATTAAACATATAAACTGCATTATATAAAATAGTCACTCAAAATTTATATAATCCTTCCAGGATCAAACCAGCTATATTCTGTATCTAACCTAGAAACTGGAGGACTCATGTATGAGTGACGCATGAAATAGGGGAGGTACCATCCTCAGACCACCTTAACAGGAGCCAGCAGAGCAGAGAGAGGCTGGGATTTTCCAGCGTAGGGTCTGGATTATACTTCTTTAACAAGAGGAATAGGCTTAAAGGTCTTGCGCCCTTAGGGGTGACTAGAAGACATTTCTGCTATCAGAAGACAGTATGAAAAAAAGAAAAAAACTCACAGCGAGAGCTGACTGAGAGCCTGTTAACAGCAGGACTGTCAGCATTAGCTCTTGTAGCACTGAGATTGTTTCATTGAATTGAAATTGTTGTATGTGATTGTTGTGAGAAAACTTTAATAAAACTTACCATTTGTAAGTGGCTGAAACCAAACTAAAGACTCTGGTTCTTCAGAACAATGTAACCCTCTTCCCCTGTCCATTAACCGTGTGATACACAGGTGACGACTGAATCTACCAGAGGAGCTTAAGGTAAGTTCCCTGTGTGAAGACTTGGCAGTCATAAATGTTGTGTCCTGTTGTGCCACAGTCCTGACACCTGACTGACGCTTGCCACAGACTAGCCACTGCGGTGCCACAAGGAGGATCTCGGCCTTGCTGCATTCACGAGCCCATTTCTCCAGACCATAATTCCTGCTTTGTTAAAGAAACAAAGGTCCAAACGAAGAATCAAATGTCCAAAGCACCCGCTGTTCATCTGACAACAGACGGACGAACGTCACGGACTAAACAAAGCTAGCTGACTGTAATGACACATTAGCTCACTACTGAATGGAGATGAAGAGCCATGTTCTTCAGACACAAAGCTAGCTGACTGTAATGACACATTAGCTCACTACTGAATGGAGATGAAGAGCCATGTTCTTCAGACACAAAGCTAGCTGACTATAATGACAGATTACCTCACTATTGAATGGAGATGAAGAGCCATGTTCTTCAGACACAAAGCTACCTGACTGTAACAACACATTACCTCACTACTGAATGGAGATGAAGAGCAATGTTCTTCAGACATGTCCCCTTGAGAGTGTCACCAGCGAGGATTTGGCATTTCTGCTTTCTTGCTCTATTGAAGACGTACCAAACCGTGGCTCCACTGTATTGTATTGAACCGAACTGAGAATTTTGTGAACCGTTACACCCCTAGAATATATCAACGTATGTGTCTTGAATTAATTAATTTGAACATTTCTCATTTTGTCGTTATACCAGGAACATCTGGGTTTTTTTCGGGGAGTTTTTCTATTTTTTTTGGAAGCAACGGTCACTACACAGGCAATGTCCTCAATCCATGACACATCAGGTCAATGATGGCCACATCGTTCACTGCAACAGCTTCCTGTTCAATGACTCATTTTCAACTGACGTCCTTTTCTTCAGAAACTGACCCAACAGACATCCAACTAACTTAGATACAAAATAGATTGAATTGAAGTTAAAGTTAGGTTGAAGGTGACTGTTGGTTGACATATAACGTCAGTGCTGCATGGTGGATCAATGCACCACATACCCTTATCAAATCTCAATGGAGTCTGCTTAGAACCACAGGTATGCCAGCCACAGGGATCTAGAAGTGTCGCCTGTTCCGAGAGTTTAAATGGGAACATTGCAGGAGCTAAGTAGCTTCAACACCTGTAGAGTGAGAGGTTTAGAAGTCTGGTTCTAGCTAGATATAACGTTACGTTACATCTAGCTAGATATTACGTAACGTTACACATTTTGTAAAGGTTGCCATTAAACGACATGACATGTTAACGTTACTTTACCTTTAACTTTTATTCCGTAAAATGGAACTGTGTAACAGCAGTTGCCTGCGTAACTGCTAGTACAGGCGACAAGAGACCTGCTAATTTAGTCACATAACGTTACTGCATATCTAATCATTTATTCTTTAACTATAACAACGAATCAAAAACCTTCCACAGTCTAATTTATGCTAGATTATATATAGTTTAAGTAACGATATCTAACGTATATGCTAAAGCTACAAACGTCCCTGGTTATTAGAGTAAACACGGACTAAAATGAAAGTTTAACAGTTCAACTTTGACATGTTAGCTTACTTTACAGTGCACGTACCTGACAGCGACATGTAGAAGTGTCAAACTAAACGTTCTTCTTCTTCTTCTTTTAAGCTTTATGGCGGATGGCATCCAGTAAAAGGTGCATTCCCGCCACCTACTGTATTGGAGTGTGGACTAGAGTAACCTATCCCCTTACAAAAAAAAAAAAAAAAAGGAAGTTCTATCATTTCGGTGACTTAAATTCCTTTACTCAATCCTGTTTCTTTCACGTATTGTAGTACATTTCCTGCCCCCAAGGTTAATGCATCTTTTAGGTTTAGTTCCTCAACTCCCAGCTTCCTCTTCAACCTGTGCCGAGTCTGAATTTCTGGCAATGACAAATGATATGGTCTACAGATTCTGGTATTTGGCAGTGCTCACATAGTCCTGCTGGGTGTTTATTTATTAGTTGCATTGTTTTGTTCAGCCTTGTGTGCCCAATCCTCAGTCTGGTTAATATGTTTTCTTCTGTGGTGCTTCTTCTGGATGGCCTCCCTTTGCCAACTTCTCTCTGAACACAAGCTAAACGTTGGTAGCACCTTACACTAGACTAGATAACGCCATCAGCAGAGGGTGTTCAAGTAATACCTTTCAAAATAAAAACCTCATTAACTAAGTTAACTAAACATGTTCAAATGCTAACCGTGTTAGACCAGCTGTTAACATGACCTCACCGTGACTGGCATGAAATATTTTTCATAGAAAACATTCCTAAGTGAAATAATTATGATGCAAGTGGGATATATTAAAGGTTATTAAAACTGCAGTCTAATATTTGAAATGTGAGTGAGGTTGCAGTGCATCATGAATATGTACTACCAACAAAGACTTAGACTCACGACTAGAAAACACACATAACACACAGCAATTGGCTTAGTATTAGATTATTCATTTTGTGATCATAATGTGAATTTTCCAAATAATGGTCATTTTTAGAAGAA